AAAAGACAGTTTTTTGTTTTTTGGCTTTTTTTTTTTTTTTTTGAGACAGAGTCTCACTTTATTGCCCTTGGTAGAGTGCTGTGGCATCACAGCTCGCAGCAACCTCCAACTCCTGGGCTCAAGCGAGTCTCCTGCCTTGGCCTCCCAAGGAGCTGGGACTACAGGCGTCCGCCACAACACCTGGCTATTTTTTGGTTGCAGCCGTCATTGTTGTTTGGCAGGCCAGGACTGGATTCTAACCCACCAACTTAGGTGTATGTGGCTGGCGCCTTAACCACTTGAGCCACAGGCGTGGAGCCAGTTTTTAAGCTGTTTTTGTATTTCCATCACTTTTGAATAGCCAACTTGAATCATATCGAGGAAATATATTTTGGGGTGATATGTTTTGGTTCCCCTCAAGACCAAAAAGGTTAAGTGCAATGCTGTCCAGTGATTTTTACTGTCGTCTCCACTGGATTCCACTGGTTGGGGCTAGGACCCAACCATGTTGTCTTCAGATGGGTTTTATACCACTGTGTAACCCTGAGACAGATGGGATCCCACACACATCCCACAGCGCAGCAGGCCTCGACAGCACAGACGCACGCACACGTGTGCACCCAACGTCAAACACCAGGCAGACGCACACACAGACATGCATACAGAGCCCACACCCGCGCACATACCCGCCACCATACCTCAGCAACCACAGACACACATGCACACACACACACACACACACAGAGGTATGGAGGAGAAAAGGCTTGAAAGGATTTGCTAGCTGTGAAGGAAAAGCCACAGTCTGCTGGGCTCCCCCACTTTCCTTTGGATTTGTTCATCCACAGGACACCCATAACACCGCTCAGGTATTTTTTTTTTCTTTTGCAGTTTTTGGCCGGGGCTGGGTTTGAACCTGCCATCTCCAGCATATGGGGTCGGCACCCTACTCCTTTGAGCCACAGGCACCTCCCAACGCTCAGGTCTTTTTTTTTTTTTTTTTTGAGACAGAGCCTCAAGCTGTCCCCCTGGGTAGAGTGCTATGGCTTCACTGCTCACAGCAACCTCCAACTCCTGGGCTCAAGCGAGTCTCCTGCCTCAGCCTCCCAAGTAGCTGGGACCACAGGCGCCCACCACAACGCCCAGCTATTTTTTGGTTGCAGCCATTATTGTTGTTTGGCGGGTCCGGGCTGGATTCGAACCCGCCACCTTAGGTGTATGTGGCTGGCGCCTTAGCCACTTGAGCCACAGGCGCCGAGCCAACGCTCAGGTCTTTTAAAGAAGATCCCTCCCCAGGTCTCTTGCATCGCAGGTTTGTCCGAAAGGATTCTGGACAACCACTGAACCCTGGATCCGAACCCAGGAAGAGGAACAACAGGAGAGCGCCGCACACCCGACACCCACAGGCGTACCCTGTGAGTCCCTTGGCTCGGTAGCGCCTGCCACCCCGCGCGGCCCCGCCACGCTCCCGCCCAGCCACGCTCGACTCTGTTCCCGCCCGCCTCGGCCCCGCCCCTGTCTCCGCCCCCGTCAGTGTTCCCGGCGGGCACGGGGTCTGTCCTCCGCCCCGCCCTGCACCGCCCTGAACCAACGGTCTGGGGTGCAGAGAAGGGCGAGGTTGCCCGCGTGCAACAGCGCCCGCACCACCCACTCCCAGCCCCGCCCCGGCTCCGCCCGGCCCGCCCTAGCGTCGCGTCGCGCGCGTCACTGCGACACGGGTTGGGTCGGGGCTGAGGCGGAAGCGCCTGCTGTCTGCGACTGGCCCCTCACCGGCTCTGTCCAGCCCTGATCCCAACGCCGAGGACGCCGCTGGTCAGTGTCATGTGACTTCTGCCCCTGGGCCTGGAACCTGAGCCGGGACCCAGGCTACGGCCTCCCAGGTTGTGTTAGTTCTTCGGAAGTTTCAGGAAGCGAGTGGTCAGAGTCGCGGAATATAGGTCTGGGGTCCCGGGGGGTGGTAGTGCCCGAGTCCGAGGTCGCGGAGTTGGGGCCCCCCCGGGTCCGGGTTCGGGGTCAGAGGTGTGGGGGAGGTTGGTGCCCGGGTCCAGAGTCTTGGTGGTACCCGGGTCCAGGGTCTCAGAGAAAGAGCCTGCTGGAGCCGATTTGTCTTCCCTCTCAAGGGTCTCTTGGGTCAGGCCCACTGTGTCGTGTGCCATGAGGGCACTGGGGGCCTTCCTTCTGGCCTTGGTGGCGGGCTTGGCCACTGCCAGCCCACCTAATGTCGTGTTGATCTTTGCTGACGACCTGGGCTATGGAGACTTGGGCTCCTATGGGCACCCTAGTTCCACCACTCCCAACCTGGACCAGCTGGCTGCAGGGGGGCTGCGGTTCACAGATTTTTATGTGCCCGTGTCTCTGTGCACACCCTCTCGGTAAGCAGAGGACCCTCACCCCAACCCCACCTGGCCCATCCTTCCCTCCCACTGATTCACTTTGGATTGCAGTAGGGGAGGAGAAACGTCATTCTCTATGGGGAAGTCCACATTTCTAACCCCACCCTGAGTTTGTCTCAGTCTGTCTGATGGGCTTGGGGACTTGTTCTGCAGGGCTGCCCTCTTGACCGGTCGGCTCCCAGTTCGGATGGGCATGTACCCTGGAGTCCTGAAGCCTAGCTCCCAGGGGGGCCTGCCCCTAGAAGAGGTGACCCTGGCAGAGGTCCTGGCTGCCAAAGGTTATCTCACAGGAATGGCCGGCAAGTGGCATCTTGGCGTGGGGCCAGAGGGGATCTTCCTGCCCCCCCATCATGGCTTCCATCGATTCCTAGGCATCCCCTACTCTCATGATCAGGTAGGAACTGCAGAGCCCTTAGCCACCCTGCCCACCCTTCTCCCACAAATCCCCTGACTCTTGACCTTCCCCCAGCCCTCCCCCAGCCCAGATCCTCACTGAAGCTGCCCCCTCAGGGCCCCTGCCAGAACCTGACCTGCTTCCCACCGGCCACCCCCTGTGATGGCGGCTGTGACCAGGGCCTGGTCCCCATCCCCCTGTTGGCCAACCTGACTGTGGAGGTGCAGCCTCCCTGGCTGCCAGGCTTGGAGGCCCGCTACGTAGCTTTTGCCCGTGACCTCATGACCGATGCCCAGCGCCAGGGTCGCCCATTCTTCCTGTACTACGCCTCCCACGTGAGTGGTCCCAGCACCACCCTCTGGCTGCTTGTGTCCCCTGATGACACTAACTCCAGTCTTTCCCTCCAGCACACCCATTACCCCCAGTTCAGTGGGCAGAGCTTTGCAGAGCACTCAGGCCGTGGGCCATTTGGGGATTCCCTGATGGAGCTGGATGCAGCTGTAGGGGCCCTGATGACGGCCATGGAGGACCTCGGCCTGCTTGAAGAGACCGTGGTCATCTTCACTGCAGACAATGGGTATGCCAGCAGGGGCACAGGGTGCTCACTGTTGCCCCAGACTGGAGCTCTGGGTTTGCGCACAGACATAGTGGGATAATGGTTCTTAGGAGATTCTCACCACGTCACAGTGACCCGTAAGCATAGTCAGGAGGCTGGGAGCCCCACATGCTCAAAGGTGCTGGTCTTGGTAGGCCATGGGTATAAACAGGCACATGCTGGTCATCTCTGGGTAAGGTTTGGAGCTAGTGGTCACCATCACTGTGTCAGGGGCCCTGATGGCCTCCTTCTGTCTCCCAGACCTGAGACGATGCGCATGTCCCGAGGTGGCTGCTCTGGCCTTTTGCGATGTGGAAAGGGAACGACCTTTGAGGGGGGTGTCCGGGAGCCTGCCTTGGCCTTCTGGCCAGGCCACATCACTCCAGGTCAGTCCTCAGAGCCTCTCCTTGCATACTCCTGGCCCCATCTCCCCAATATTGATGGTGAACTGAGTGACCAAACAACTCTCTTACCCCAGGTGTGACCCATGAGCTAGCCAGCACCCTGGACCTACTGCCTACTCTGGCAGCCCTGACTGGGGCCCCACTGCCCAACGTCACCTTGGATGGCTTTGACCTCAGCCCCCTGCTGTTGGGCACAGGCAAGGTAGGGCCAGTGATCCCTGATCCTGGCTCCTCAGCCCCTGGTCTTGGCCCTGCCCTGAGGTGTGAGTGTGCTTCTGCTCCTTTGTTGAGTGGCTTCCAAATGGCACAACCCCGGGAGTTCCTGGGTAGGCAAGAAATAACTGCCTCCAGGGCCTAACACAGGGCTGCTGCTCCAGTGTGTGCAGTGCTGCGGCCCTTCCCGCCCTGTGACCCCCAACTTCTCCCCAGAGCCCTCGGCAGTCTCTCTTCCTCTACCCGGCCTACCCAGATGAGGTCCGTGGGGTCTTTGCTGTGCGGAGTGGGAAGTACAAGGCTCACTTCTTCACCCAGGGTAACTCCCCCGACCTGGAGCCCTCTCCTCAGCCCTGCTGCCCCCCAAAGTAGCCCAGAACCCTGGCCCCTCCTTTTGCTCTTGCCCTGTGCCCAGAGTTGACCCCTCCCCAGGCTCTGCCCACAGCGACACCACCGCAGACCCTGCCTGCCATGCCACCAGCCCCCTGACTGCTCACGAGCCCCCATTGATCTATGACCTGTCCAAGGACCCTGGTGAGAACTACAACCTTCTGGGGGGTGTGACCACTGTCACTCCAGAGGTGCTGCATGCAGTGAAGCAGCTTCAGCTGCTCAAGGCCCAGTTCGATGCAGCTATGACCTTTGGCCCCAGCCAGATAGCCCAGGGTGAGGACCCGACCCTGCAGATCTGCTGCCGGCCTGGCTGCGCCCCCTACCCAGCCTGCTGCCACTGCCCAGACCCCTGGGCCTGAGGGCACCAGCCCAGTCCACAGGGGCAACCCTGTGGCCAGCGTAGGGCCCCTCACCTGCCCACACATAATGGCTCGTTGCTGTGAGTGTGGGGGAGTACAGATGTATGGAGGCATGTACCTGATAATGTAATAACACCAGCTGAGACTTACAGGTGTGATAATTCATCTACTCCTGTAGTAACCCCCTGAGGTAACCTATGGTTACCTGTGATACAAATGAGAAAACTGAGGCAGAGAAAGGGCCCAGAGGCTGCCTCACCGCCGTGATGATCTGCATACATGAGCTGCAAGAGTGCAGGCACATCCACTCATGGGAGCAGGGCCAGGAATAGGGCGGTGAGGGTGAGGGCAGGTGGCCAGAAGATCTGGGAGATGCAGAGCACCTGGGGAGACAGATTTTCCCCTGGGAGGAGCTATACGGCCAAGCTGTCTGAAGGCAGGTGATGAGTTGCATATTTCAGGTAGGAGGGGCTGGGGGCCTTGTGAGCCCCTAGGAAGGCACATGGGCAGCTCCCGAGATAAACCTGTTGGCACTTCCACCCTCCTGAGGATCTCGTCTATGCACACGTTTCCTGTCTCTAGCTTCATCTTTGACACGAGCCATTCTCCACCCAGCAGGCACAGCGATCTCTTACAAACGTCTGTCAGGTTGGATTTGAGCATGTATCCCTGCTCAAAGCTCCACAGCTTCTTATTATACTCAGAATAAAATCCAAACTCCTGATGGTGGCCCACTTTGCCCTGAAGCCCTCTCAGTCTTGGTGGGCTGGCATGGCTGTTCCTTCCACCAGCAATATTTTGCCTCCACTACTGGCCTCCTTTGCAGTGAGGGACCTCCTGACCACCTGCCTGTGTTTGTGTGCAAAGTGTGCTGACGTCAGGCCCACATGTGTGCCCTGATGGCAAGTCACACACCAAGCACCCCCTTGGTGTTGGCTGAGAGGGTCACTGAATAGGTGTACAGACACCTCCCCATGGCAAACACTTCATTGCCTACCAAGCAGCCACACCCTTACCAATAGGCCCCCACTTTTTCAGTAATGGGCAAAGTCTCCTTGACCTTGAGGTTGCAGCCTCTCCCTGTCCCAGGTTAGTGACCAGTCTGAGCCAGTAACAATCTGATGGTTGGTCTAGGAGTAGAATGTAACCAAGAGTCCTGGCAGTGAAAGATTGGGGTGGCAGGGTGAGGACCATGCGGCAGCAGAGTCACCAGCCCTGACTGGACACACAGCAGGTAAAGAAGTGTCTTCAGCTGCCTGGAGAGCTCCAGGTGTTAAGGAAATAAACTGTTTAAGCCACTGCCAGTGGGCTGTTACTTGTAGCCAAAAGGAGCCCTGCTGGAATGCACCTGAGAGAGAGAACGAGAATGCATGAGCACCTGTCTGAGGCGTCAGACAGTGTGCTGAAGACCCTTCATGTTCACCATGCAATCTTTAATCACTGCTAAACTAGTTGAGGGGCTAAATTGACAATACCGCAAATCCTGCTGTGTCTAGGAGTTACCAGTAGGGTAATAGTTCCCTTGGGGCACCCAGCACTGATGTTGGCACAAGGAAGACACTGAGGCACTTGTGGTCTGAGTGAAGGTGTTGGGCCCAAATAATGCCGTAGTTCAGGGTGAAGACAGATAAACTGAAACATGTTCATGATCCATGTATCACACTGAAAGTCCAAACTCTCCAGCAAGAACTAAATGAATACTAATACCTGGGTACAACCTGCAGGCACCTTTTCCAACTCTGCAGCATTAGCTCCTTTCACTTGAACAGTGTGCATTGCTGTGTTAATCCCACCATGTTTGTTCACCAACACCATGTAGTGCTGGGCATGGAGTTGTCAGAGAAGACCCCACACACATGCAGTGCTCATAGTCTAGCAAGGGGAATCAGCTTAGTCTTGGAAGGTCAGATGCACATGGGATTTCAGCGTAATAGAAGTCCCTTGTAGGGTGGGTTGCATGGATAATGAATTTCTGAGCAAGGACACCAGAGAACTTGGGGGTGCTACTACAAATGTTCTCTGTCTTGATTTGGGGGTTGTAATATGATGCATACGTATGTATTTGTGTAAAGTCACACACATAAGATGTGCACACTTTATGATGCCACTGTGTATTTTGTATTTCAATAAAAATCTAACCATATTAATGCTGCAAAGGATAAGTACCTGGTCATCCAAGAACATAATCAGGGGGTGAGGGTGGAGGATAATTGAACCAGTTAGGGATGCTTCCCTGCTGCGTGAGCTCTGAGGAGGACTGTTCAGACTCACCCTCTGCATCCAGGGTTGGAGAGAAAAGCAAGACCCCCCACCTCCCATTCCTCTTTCTGTTTTGCTATGATTCGCTTTCATGCAGAAGTGCTTGTTACTCCTTTTAGCTGTTTTAGCCCAATGCACCTTCTTCATACAGGCACATATATTCATGTATATGCATGCATACATATATATATATATATACACACACACACACACGTGCACCTAGACACTTGTGCATGTGCATACAGGCACATACAAGTACAGGCACTCACCCAAGTGTATGCACAAGGCATATACACATACATGTGTCTACATGTGCAAGGAGACATACACAGATGCACATCTGCACACACATTGCTGTTACTGTGTCCACAATGTCCCAGCACTTCCCTACAACTGTTGATTTATTTTATTTTTTTGAGACAGAGTCTCTGTCACCCTGGGTAGAGTGCCATCATCATAGCTCACAGAAACCTCAAACTCCTGGGCTCAAGTGATCCTCCTGCCCCAGACTCGTGAGTAGCTGGGACTACAGGCATCTGCCACCACGCCCCACTAGTTTGTCTATTTTTAGTAGAGACAGGGACTCACTCTTGTTCAGGCTGTTGAACTCCTGAGCTCAAGCAATTCACCCACAGTGCTGAGATTACAGGCATGAGCCTCTGCACTGGGCCAGGACTGTTAATTTAAAAAACAACACCTTTCCTTATGAGGCTAAAATAATTCATCGGGCTTACAGCTTTACATTCCCATGGAGTGGCTTCCTCAGGGATGCCCGTGTCTCCTGGAAGGAGTTGAGTGTGTTTTCGAATGGGCAGAACAAACAAACATGTTGATTCTGTGGTTCCCTTCAGGTGCTTTAGGAAGGAAAAGGAGTTATCCGGATGGCAGGAAGGACAGGAGAAAGGCAGTGCCTGCTGGGAAGAAATCCCCCCTTCTTCCTCTCTTGCTTCTTTGCGCATTGGCCCCAAGTGACCAGAAGGGGGAGTGAAGGGACTGTTTCCATGGAATAATGTTTAAATACCCCTCTTCTGAATATATCCATTACAAAGTACTGTGTACTCACTCTTTACAGCAACCCTGTTCATCTCAGTCCCAGGTAAGCAGAGCTGTCTATGGGGTGTCCACGCCCCACGTTGTTCTCTCTGCTAGTGCAAATCACGTATTTTAGCTCTGGGTGTTGAGCTCCACTGTAAACCTCACCCCTCATTGTGCCCTGCACACTGCCTATATCTGGTGTCTGATACATCCTTTGCCAGCCTGGGCCTAGTTCAGCGCAGCAGCTGTAATGAATGGACAGTGCACTTATTTGTACTCTCTCTGGCTTCCTTGGCTCTCTCCTCAGGAGCTGAAGCATGAGCTATCTCCACATGAACAGTGTTTTGTTGCTTGCCCCCAACTCCTGCAGCCTTTCAGGCACACTGGGATAAGGGAGATGAGGGAAAACTGGGTCCCTTCCCTCAGGACAGGCCCAGAGACCTCTCCAGGGGTCATCCAAGCTGATGCACTCCCAGTCCCTTAAAGAAGGAGGCAGTTTTGGAGTGGTCAGATCCAAGATTCCACAGCAGGAATGGAAATACTTCTCAGTCATGTTGCAGACAATAAAAATGTGGAACCTGGCTCGGCCACCAGTATCACAGTGGTTACGGTGCCAGCCACATACACGGAGGCTGGGGCAGGTTCAAACCCAGCCTGGGCCAGCTAAAAATATGGAACCAGTGGCCACATTAGCCATTGGATCCAGAGCCTCCCTCCTATCAATTCCTTGTTGGTGATTCCATAGGACGATCAGTCCCTCTGCTTACCACACACCAGGAAGAGGCTGTCAAGGTGTTGAGGAGCCACCAAGGGAGGGTGACATCAGGTTCATCTGTCCGCAGCAGAGCTAGACTGGGCTAAGGGGAGGAGCTGCTGCCCTCCCACCCCTCAAGGGGGTTCACAGCCCCTCTTTAGTGCCCCTTTTTCTGCCTTCTTTTTGACTCTGGGAGTCCCCAACACCCTGATAATAACTTTCCTTTTGGTTAAGTCACCCAAAGCTAGTTTCTATAGGTTGGTTGTGACAGCAGAGTGCTAACTGGTACAGAAAGAAATTAAATACTAACACCCCCATCCCAATACTAGCAAATGTGTGATGGGTAAGAGGAATTGGACACATTGCACACGGTCCCAGCTGTCATCATTGAACAAGTGTCTTGTATGAATTTTTCATTCAGATCATGAATTGTTTTTCTGATTTCTTTGAATTGCCTATATGTATTTCCTTGAGTCTCACTGGGTTTCCTTAAGATCACTATTCTGAATTCCTTTTCTGGCATTTTATGAATTTTTTTTCCTTTGGGGCTTATTACTGGAGAATAATTGTGTTCCTTTGGAGATGTCATTTCCTTGCTTTTTCATGTTTCTTTCTTCCTTTTTTTTTTTTTGAGAAAGAGTCTCAAGCTGTCACCCTGGGTAGAGGGCTGTGGCGTCACAGCTCACAGCAACCTCACACTCTTAGGCTTAAGTGATTCTCTTGCCTCAGCCTCCCAAGTAGCTGGGACTACAGGTGCCCACCACAACCCCTGGCTATTTTTTATTGCTTTGTTGTTGCAGTTGTCATTGTTGTTTTAGCTGGCCCAGGCCAGGTTCAAACTCATCAGCCTTGGTGTATGTGGCTGGCAGCCTACCCACTAAGCTGTGGGTGCTGCCTTTTATTTTTTCTTTTTCTTTTTTTTTTTTGAGATGAAGTCTCACTTTGTCACCCTTGGTAGTGCCATGGCATCATAGCTTACAGCAACCTCAAACTCTTGGGCTCAAGCGATCCCCTTGCCTCAGCCTCCTGAGTAATTAGGACTACGGGTGCCCACCACAATGCCCAACTGTGGAGTTAGGTTTGTAGTGTAGTTTAGGCCAGACATTTCTGGAGGGCTTGTTAATAGAGTCTAAGTTCCTCAAACTCCTCAAGGTTAGCAATAGCCTGGTGATCTACACAGAATGTCTGGCACCTGGCAGGCTCAGGATTAGAATTCTAGGGGTCTTGTTGACCAGAGTCCAGGATCCTTCAGCCCCACCCCCCAACATACACACACTTCAGGTACCACAAGTGACGTGATTGTTATCTGGTGGCTGAGAACGGAATGCCTAGCAACCAAAGATTACCATCACCCAAGTTCTGCCCAGACATAGATAGAAATCACTGAAGCGAGTTAGGCAAGTTTATCCCCAATTTGTAAAGTGTAAATTATAATCAAATGGTGTCCCTGCATGATTTTCCTTTTTTTTTTCCCCCCAGTTTTGGCCAGGGCTGGGCTTCAACCCGCCACCCCTGGTACAGGGGGCCAGTGGCCCACTCTTTGAGCCACAGGCGCTTCCCTGATTTTCCTTTCCTTTGTTTCCCTTCTTCTGACTGTTAATGATTACTTGGGGCACCTTGCTTTGAATAACTCTAAGTTTATGCAATATGTTGTCAACATGTTTTACAATTTTAGATCTCATAAAGAGACCTATGGGAGCATGGTCCAGGGCTGTACTTGATGGCTGCACTTGAGATGCTGCTGGTTTAGTGTAAGCCTTTCACAGGCTTCCATCAGATATTTCACCTGAGATAACTGACGTTGATGACATGGGTACAATGAAGAATGATGGTCTGACTTTTAAAAAACAGACTGGCCAGTGCTTGTATCCTCCACAAAGAAGAACTTTTCTTTCATCAACTTCCCTCAATGCAGATCCTAGCAAAGGTTGTGGGGACCCAGGCCCCCACACCCAGCTATCCTTTCTCATGTTTCTTGTCTCCATACATTGATATCTGCACATCTAATGAAATAGTCACCTTTTCCAATTCTATGAGGTAGCTTTTGTAGGAAAGGACTTTTTTTTATTATTATTGCCCTTAATAGAGTGACATGGTATCACACAGCTCACAGCAACCTCCAACTCCTGGGTTTAGGCAATTCTCTTGCCTCAGCCTCCCAAGTAGCTGAGACTACAGATGCCCACCACAACGCCTGGCTATTTTTTGGTTGTTGTTGCTGCAGTTTGGCTGGGGCCAGGTTTGAACCCGCCACCCTTGATATATGAGGCCGGCGCCCTACCCACTGAACCACAGGCACTGCCCCTGGGAAGGACTTTTTATTCATGTAGGTATGACCTACCACATTGGTTGAGTAATATACTTTGCCTTGGTTCTGATTGGGTGCTTTAATGTAGTATGTCTTCTTTAGCTGGCTGGAATCAATAACAGCATTTTTTTTTTTTTTTTGAGACAGAGTCTCACTTTGTCGCCCTGGGTAGAGTGCCATGGCGTTACAGCTCGCAGCAACCTCAAACTCTTGGGCTTAAGGGATTCTCTTGCCTCATCCTCCTAAGTAGCGACGCCTGCCACAATGTCTAGCTATTTTTTAGAGATGGGAGTCTCACTCTTGCTCAGGCTAGTCTCAAACTCCTGAGCTCAGGCGACCCACCCCCCTCGGCCTCCCAAGTGCTGGGATTACAGGCATGAGCCACCATGCCTGGCCTCAGCAATGTCTTTAAGTGCCTCAGTGGCCTAGGCTGAGGATGTTTGTGGATGCCATGGTGTGGCTTTGCACAAGAGGAGATTGCCACTGGTGGTAGGCTTCTGGCAGCCTGCTTTCAGGTCCCAGGAGCATGCATGTCAGCTCCCTCAGTCCTGGGAGCAAAATCCCATCTGTGCAGAGGTCATGGCTATACTTCTGGGTCCAGTGGGGGTTGTGGTATTGCAGTTCCTTTGTGTGGGTGTGGTGCAATGACAGACATGGAGAGGACAGGGATGAGTCCCAGTGCCGGATGCACTCCAGCAGTGCCTCCATTCTTTTTTTTTTTTTTGAGACAGAACCTCAAGCTATCCCCTTGGGCAGAGTGCC